AAAATAGGTTGCGATTTATTTGAAATTAAAGGACAAAATTTTCTACTAGTTGTTGACTATTATTCCAAATTCATTGAGGTCGTAGTTCTGAATAGTACTACTAGCAAAAATATAATTAATTCTCTAAAAAATATATTTTCAACTCATGGTATTCCGTTAACAATAATATCAGATGGAGGTCCACAATTTAATTCAGCGGAATTTAAATTTTTTTCAAGAGAATGGGAATTTGTGCACATAACATCTTCACCAACATATGCCCAGAGCAATGGTATGGTAGAACGTAATATACAGACAGTAAAAAATATAATTAAAAAATGTATTGAGGAACGGAAAGATATTTATATGGCATTATTAAATTATGAAAATTCGTATATTGATGGAACAAATTCTCCTTCACAAATACTAATGTCGAGGAAAATTAGATCAAATATTATCAGTGCAAATGAAGCTTATAAACCTAAAATAGTTAATAATTTTGATTAACAAATTAAAACAAATCAATTTAAACAACAGTAAATAGTACAGTGTATGTTCAAGTAAAACCAAGAAGTTGTTGGACACCTGGAATAGTTTTATCTAAACTTAGAGATAAAGTATATAAAGTTAAGTTGAATAATGGTTCGGAACTTTATAGAAATAGAAAATTTATTAAAGTTGTAAAAGCAAATGAAGAACATAAAATTATTTTAAACAAAAACAATGTAGTACCGTACCACTCTTCAGTTGACATAAAGCAAAAATTAAGTAATGAAAATAAACAAGAATGTATTAGGTATTACATTGAAATAGAGAACACTGAAACCAGTGAGAATAGTGAAAGTGACACTAGTGCGAATAATGAAGCTAGTGATACAGAAGAAACAGTAACAGAAACTAGTGATACGGAAGAAACAGTAACAGAAACTAGTGATGCAGAAGAAAAAGTAACCGAAACCTCGAGCGAATTAGCTACTAATGTTAGTTTAAGTTCACTTACAAATACTGATCAGGAATTAGATTCTAGTAATTTTAGTTTAAGTCCAGTTGCAAATAATGGTGAGGTCGAAAAATCAACAGTCACAGCATCAGGCAGAATAGTAAAGCCTCCAAATAAATTAAATCTATAACTGTTTATTTTTCACCTTAAATATAGAATTTTAGCTTTTCATTGTAAAAAAAAAAGGAAGATGTCATATATTAGTTAAGAGTAGTAATAACGGAACCCACCCTGTCACGTGTCAAGTGTCAGTGATCATGATTGTCAACGGTCCAAGAGCAGTCTTGGTTATGTATGGAACGTAAATAAATCTATGTTACAAGTCTCTCAATATTTATTAATAATTACACATACAATTAACTACAAAACATAACACTGATGTCTTCTAATTGTCGTAACAGTGAACATATATTTTTCTTATTCACGACTTCTTGTTTGAGGTACTCCTCTATCTGCTTTGCATTTTCCGTGAACAATTATTTTGACATTTTTCTTTGTAGCTTTAACTTCTCCATCTTTAACGTCCTGTCACGCTCGCCAAAATGTTGATGAGGGGTAAAGATGGAAACGTAATTAAAGATAAATCGCTATTTTAATAGTATATTACGTTATGACTTTTTATAAAAATTAATTAATCAGTTCTTACATTTATACACTTTACAGAGTGATTTTGTCTCTGAATATAAAACTATTAACAAATTAACTCTATTTCCTACAGTAAGAACAAGCCCGGGGTTTATTACTTTCTCTCTCTTCTGGTTTCTTGATGTAATTCGTCCATTATAAATTTCAGTAGTATAATTAAACATTGTCAAACAGTTCGAAATTGTCTGTTGTATATTTCTTGTGATTTAATACCCAGAGCGTGTTTTTAAAGTTTCTTAGAGTGTCTGTCTTTTAATACAATAAACTCATGATATTTATATTATAAGTTGATAAGATATATTTTATTTAATAAAACACAGACATCGATAAAGGAGATAGGAAATGTCATTTTCATCAGGCACGTAGAATTGAAGGCGGCCATCTTTTAAAAAAAAGCGACCCACGCACTTGCGCATTGATTGTATATTGAAGTGTACAGGATAGGACTAACACATTTAAACATAATTCAAAAATATTAAGGATTTACTTACACAGTAAAACTAATAACCTTAAAAATTCGTAATAGAATTTTAATTTTCTTTTTTATGGATTTTAAGAGATTTCTAAAAATAAAAAACATCATAGTCTTTTTTGATACTTTATTTTAAATTAAATAAAAACAGAATATATTTAAAATACCATTTTATATGAAATGAATACAACAATCCAAGGCCGTCATATATTTTGTAGCAAATAAATCTGGAATCACGTGATTTAAACAGAACTTTCATATTAAAAACTATCATTTTGTATGTAATTATTACATGGGAATATTGATTGTTCAGATCTTGAAAGTATTTTATTAAAAACTTCGAAACTAAGGAATTTAAATATATTTGTAATATCGTTCCAAAGTACTATGGCATGCACTTGAGCATACATTAAGAATCATCAATCAAAATAAATAAGAGATTATGGGCATATTCCTACTAAAGAATAGAGTAAATTTAAAACTATTATAAGAAACATGTAGACAAATATTTTATTAAAAAAGGGAAATAAATCTAAACTTTAACGTTTCCCTTCGAAAAACAACTACTTCTTTGGCTAATTCCGCAGCAGACATTGAATTATATCCAAAAAAACAACAAAGTTAAAAAAATTCATATTTCAATATTCAAACTTTGATCTTGCTTACCATAGATAACTAAAGGAATCTGAAAAGGCGGTAAATTCACCCGCTTACATGGAAGGAGGTTGTGAGAGAATAAGTAGTAAAAAAGCTTCGATTTTGTCAAGTGCGAAAGGTTTTACTTTTTTATCTTGTGTAATAAATACTACAGTAAATATATTATGATAACATTATGTTATTAAACTTAAAACATTTATATTACATTAGAAAATGGCACTAATAAATTATAAATAAAAAAAAAGCTATTTAATAAAAGTTAATAAGGAACAAAAAATACAAATTTAGTTTTTTAAATTTTCATTGGTTCATGGTTTTTATTAATCTTGATATGTGATTTTCCTATAAATAAGGGTAGATACTCATAATTATGATTATTGATTTCTCGAAACAAGTTTTTATTTTAAACTAATTGAAAATGAACATTTTTTAGCAGGTAATTGATTATGTGATTAAAAATACTTTTTTTTAAAGATAATTCCATGGTACAAAAGTAATCGTAGTCTATATGAATGGAAAATTTTTACAGATAAAGGATTATTGTTCCATCCATACCTAGCCCTAGAAATAAAATGTAATTACATCATACAATTAAACTAATACTATTCCATATACTGCAGAAAAATAGCTCTAAGTGATCTGTACTAAGTTTATATATTAACAGTTTACATATTTCTTATATAAACTTATTACAAACTTTATAAAATAAAGTCTAGAACACCACTATTCTTCTTCGGTCACTGAATAACATAACTGCTGTCAAAGGTTTTAAGTTTCTTTATATATTCTATTGCAGCTTATATTCCAGAGATCCATATAGTCTCTGTTTTTTGAGACAAAGGCATTTTCCATTGAAATCTAAAAAGATTTCGAGAATTTAGTAAATCGAACAGTTTCTCAAATGTCCTTATACAATTAATAGTAATGTTACTTAGTATTTGTAATTTCTAAATTCGTTTAAGTGTACAAACCTTCTTCTCCAATCCATATGGGGCACTCTTAATTTGCTACCCAAACGTAAACCTTCTGTTTGTTAAATATAATGCAACAATTTTATATAATTAAAATCAATAATTTCGCCATTAGTTTCGACAATTATAGTAAGATTATCCCAGTTATTCCAAGTCAACTTAAGTATGTGACATGCATCTAAAATTATAAAAAATATACTTTTATCTATGGCGAATGCAAGAAATATGGAGTTGCAGTGTCAATATCAAAGTTGTATAGGTTTACACCTAATGTTATCATTGTAAGTCCATCAAATGATAATTAGGTGATGATAACTCCATATTCATGCAATTTTAGAAGAGCCTATAACGCCACATGTCTTCTTTCATTACCATCTAAACCCTTAATAAAAAATAACCAACTGGCAACTTCTATAATTCCTCGTTAGATTCTGAATTAATAATATTCGTTAAAGCTGAAGGTTGTAAATTTCTAAAAATAATAGGGATAATTAACAATTTTTTATCACTTTCTTAGAAACTATAAAAAGAAACAAATTGATAATTTTATGTATATATATTTACCTCATAACACTAATGTTATAAAAATCTTCAATTTTAGGCATATTTATGGAAGGTATTGCATTATTTTTTTATTGTATCTATTCGTTTTGAAACGATTAAATCATCTTTATGAAAATGGGAGGAACAAATAGCGTTATTTGCTTTGCACTTATATTTTCCAATGATTTCTTCCAATAGCTATTAACTAAGAAGCATACGCCTTTTCCTCAATCTAAAAAAATTATAGCAATATCAACGTTAGATACCTACATACAGTTTGTTATTGTACTATGATATTTCGTTTTCTAGAAAATGAAAATATAGTCTAAAAAATGTGGTGAAGAATACGGTTCTGGTATAAAAGATGTCTTACTTGTGGCATGTAATGTTTTCTGAATCCTCGTTGTTTAAACAACCAAAAACAAAGCAAGTCTTCCCCATTTTATTAATTGTCTATAGTAAAAACTTCTAAAATTCTTTTAAATTCACTAAAATAGCGAAATTCGAATAAAATCAAGACTAGTTGACATAAATGACACTTCTATCAAAACACTACAACAACTGCGCATGTGCGTTGTACGCTTAAATTGCCAAAATGGCGGCCTACATGGTGTGATTATTTTGAAACACCGGGGAAAATGGCCTTTTCCTATCTCCTCTATTCAAATCTGTGTAATAAAACAACAATTTACTAAATTATAAACTGTAGTTTTAAAATAATTTTTACAAGTTATTATCGACCGCCAACAATTCTTAAAATATAAATAAATATATAAATTACATCCATATATAGATTAATAGCAGCGAAAACGTATTCTTCCGGCGAAATTTGATATTTGTGGCCACCTCCCATCATTAATTGTAAATCGAAAACAAAAAAAAAGGAAAACACCACTGCTCCGAGAGAAGCATAAATTAATTGACCCAGTTGACTCAAGAGAAAAATACACGAAATTCCAAAACACACAAATATTAACAAGATAATAAACAAAATTCCTCTAAACGCAGTAAAATCAAATTTAGTTTGATATGCCAACAAGGTTAATCCTACGCAAACTACAATCGTAAATCCAAGAGCTAAAACCACAGCCAGTACGTCGTAAAAAGAGGCTAAAACGCCGATCAGGAATGCTTTAGATAAGGTAAAAATACAGAGAAGAATATAGTTTGTAGGAGTTCTCCTTCTTAGCTCTCCGAAACATATGAGTGCTACTAATACAACAATTTCGACTGAGACAGCTACAATAGCAAATTCTATGTGTTTCTGTACAAATTTTTTGGTATTATGTTCGAAGATGAACCAGCAGGTAATGGCCATAGTGACTGCGAGTTGAACACTGACAATGGCGAAAACTTTCTTCACGAAAGCTTTTCTGACACTGGCATCGTTAAAGTAAAACGTTTCTTCTTTCAGTTCTTGTCCATAGACAGCGCTGGTATAATGATCTGAAACAAACAAATTATGTAAGAAAAATAATATCAAAAGATAGGGGAGAGTGTCCTACAGTGAGACAGGTCCCACAGTGAGACATTTACTATATCTTTCTGAAAAACTGTAATGGTTGGCAACGCTGTACAACAAACGAACCACCTCAATGCATTTACCCATCTCTTCAGTCGAATGGTAACCTTGAAGGCGATAGTTACGTTCAATATCAGTGAGTAAATAACTGGTGACAAAATCGAGTATAATAATATAATCTTTCGTCTCTGTTTATATGCTGGTAAGTACCATGGGTAACATCGTTAATTTTATTATGTCAAAATAACTTTGTAACAAACATTTTTACGTATAAATGTTCGAGTTAATGTTTAAGGTTATAGAAATACATTATGTTTTTATTAGGATATTACATTGTCCAACAGTGGGAAAAAGTTGAGTGCCCTACAGTGAGACATGTCTCACTGTAGGACGCAAGTCAAATTCAGGATAAATAAATATCGTGCTTATTAAAATCTGGATTTGAAGATTTAATTTTTGTTTCAGAGCAAAGAATATGGACAAAGCAATAAGAAAATTAAATAAACGTGACGCACATTTAATGAGGGAAGCAGTAGCTATGGCAATAGCAGGACAGCCACTAAGAGAAGTTGGTCATATAAAAGGTATACCACATCAGACTTTACATTGCTATGTTAAAAAACAAAAAGAAGCTCCCGAGCCCATTTCTATGGTACCAAAATATGATGTAAGAAGAATATTTACAAAGCAGCAAGAGGATGTATTGGCAAACTACATGATCACCTGCGCAAAAATGTTCTACGGCCTACCTCTAATTGAATGTAGACAACTATCCTACGAAATGGCAAGTGTGAATGAAATTGATATGCCAGATACCTGGAAAATTCGAAGGCTTGCAGGGAAGAAATGGATGCGGGGTTTTATGAAGAGAAATCCTCGGCTATCATTAAGGACACCTGAAGGGTGCAGTTTAGCAAGAGCTGCAGCATTCAATGAAACCAATGTAAATTTGTTTTTTGATAAATTACATACATGTTATATGAGAAGTGAACACTTCAGTAATGGAACAAGGGTTTTTAACCTAGATGAAACTGCTACCATCACACAACAAAAACACCATATAAAAATCCTAGCAAAAAGAGGCTCCAAACAAGTCAACAAGATAACTTCTGGAGAAAAAGGAACCCTTGTAACAACGTGCATGATTGTAAGTGCAGCTGGAAATTGGTAACCACCTGCAATGGTATTTCCCAGAGTCACCTTTCACAGTCGTATGATCAATGGTGCACCACGAGGCACATTAGGTTTGGCAGCTATGACGGGTTGGATGAACACCGATTTATTTATTGATGTAATGAAACATTTTATTAAATGTAGTGGGTCCTCACAAGCAAATCCTTCTATACTAATTTATGACAATCACGAGAGCCACATATGAATTGGCAAAAGAAAACGGTGTAACGCTTTTAACTTTTCCTCCCCATTCGACGCATAAGTTGCAACCAGTAGATGTTGGAATTTTCGGGCCTTTTCAGAAGTTTTATAACGCTGCAGTGGATAGCTGGATGCTTCACAATCCTGGACATTCATTTAGTATATATGAAGTTGCGGCATGTGTTGGACAAGCACATGAAAAAGTAATGACACCGGCAACAATAACGCATGCCTTTAAAAAGACTGGAATTATGCCATATGATCGAAACATTTTTACTGAAGATGACTTCCTAAGTAGTCAAGTAACCAAAAAACCTTTAATTGAAGACAACAACAGTGAAAATGACCATTTAACCCAGACTAAAATTATTGAAATTAATGAAATCCAGACAACTACTGAAATTAATCAAATTCAGGAAACTGCTGCCGCTAATGAGATTCCAACCGTAGAAATTCATGAAATTCAGACAACTGCTGAAATGATTGAAATTTCTGACAAGGTTCTAAAACCAACTTCTAGTCAAAATAGTCAGATATCAACTCCACAAGAAAATTTGTCTCTTGAAATCCAATCTACGCCAAGTACATCGAAACAACAATTAGTGGATCAGGAAAATCAACCAAAACTTAATTTTATCTCTCCCGATATATTTAGAGAATATCCAAAGAAAACTGTCGACAAAGGAAAGATAAGGAAACAAAGAAAAAAAGGAAAATGTATGATAGCCACTGACACACCAGAGAAAAATGAAATCGAAGAAAACTTTCTGGAAAGACAGAAAAAGTTGCAAAAGCCAAAAACAACTATACGAAATATTAGTCAAAGCTGTAAGACAAAAAAGACACCTCAGAACACAAAAAAAATTAAGAAGAATCCAGTGATGAATTTTCCGATAAGGAAAATACAGATGAATACGAATCTGATGAACGAGAAGATCTAGTTCTAAATAAGTTAGAAAAACAGCCAAAAGCAGATGATTACGTATTAGCATGTTTTAAGGCAAAATCTTCAAATATTTACTATGTAGGTAAAGTGATAAAGGGGGGTGATGGGGAAACAGAAATAAGTTTCCTCCGTAGACTGGCGCAACAAAATAAATTTACTTATCCGCAAGTACCCGACAATTGTTCTGTCCAAAATAGTGATATAAGTGCCATTTTACCCAAACCGATTTATTTTGTTCAAACTAGACGACAACATGCATACCTAACTTTTCATGTTAATTTTGACAATTTGGAAGTTCGTTAATTGTTCCTGTACCTAATAAAATGACAAAAAAAAATTTTACACTGTTATTTTTCCTATGTCCCACCCAAAGAACCATTGTCTCATTGTTGGACACCCCATGTCTCACCCTTGGGCAAGAGTGCCCAACAGTGAGACAATTTTTTAATAAAATAAAAAATTATTATTACCTATTTCCCATTCGATTTAATAAAAAATATTGCCAGAATTATTTGTCTATGCAAGAGTTACTTAATTGGTATTTTTTATTTTTTTTTGTACACGAAAACTTTAAAAGTTATTGACGAAATAAAAAAAATGTCCCACTGTAGGGCACTTTCCCCGACATACGAATATGTATTTATGGCTCCATGACAAAACGGCGCAGAGCATAAAAGCGCATATCAAAATATTACAAATTAGGCACCCAATAAAATATTTTGATGTTTTATTACATATGCCTAAAATACACAAGAAATGGGGCCCTCAAGCTATGGTGAAAGCTGTAAAGGCTATGCGTAATAAAGTGACGGGATATCTAAAAGCCTCAAAAGTTTTTGGTATACGAAAACGCACTGTGGAAAGATACTCAAAGACAGATAAACGCTCAGAAGAACTTGTCAAATTATTGATAGGCCGGAAACCAGTTATTCTGAAAACGAACTAATTGAATATGCATTAGCCATTGAACAACGATTTTTTGGTCTGAGGTCGAGCGATATTAAACGAATGGCAGTGGCGTGCGGTGGCATTTTTGGAAGGGGAAGCGATTGTATAAAAATACAGCAGGCCAGTAAGCACAGCGCCGCAGACCAAAATTTTTCGCAACGCATTCACCATTTTGTCAAAATCTTGCTTTTTTCCTTAGTACTAAGGATATTCGAGATTGAGATTTTTGAAGTGTTACTATTACTTTATTACCTTGTTTAGTACTAGAAGCTATAAAAAAAACTTACCATTGAAAAGCTTCCTTGGTTTATTTAAACGTAAAAAAACATTTTTCTACTACCGTGCGTAAAGTACGTACTTTACGCACTCCACGAAGTGTGTAAAGTTGTACTTTTTTTCACTAGTGCGTAAAGTAAAACTCTTTACGCACTAGTTAAAAAAAGTAAAATTTGACAAAATTTGTACATAACAACAAAATATAACGTTTTATTTTATATTAACATTTTTTTGCTATCTCCTTCTAAGACAAATAAATAAATTATTTTTGCTTATATCTATTTAGTGTCCAACAAATTATCAACAGTTTATTTTAATTATAATTTTCTCTAAATGTCATCGATTTAATTAAAAGTAAACATACAGTAGGTTTGTTCGTAGAGCGATCCACAACCGTTTCCAACTGAACAGCGCATGCGCATTGATTATTTTGCGTTCGTAGAAGAATCACTGATAGTTTCCAATTATTAATTTGGTGTTCGTAGAAACAAATGAAGTAATTGCCAACTGATTGGAAACGGTTGGAAAAATCCCTGATTATTTTCCGAATTTTAAATCCGGGGCATGCGTACATGAATTATTTTTAATAACCTACAATTTGACGTTTGTTTGGCTTGAAATTTATGTCCGTTTATGTGTTTTTAATTCGTCAATACTTATATTGATTTGATTAGTTGTTTTTATAAGTGTAATTAGTACAGATACATAACAATTAATAAATAACATAAGACCACAAAGACCTACCATTCAGTATCCTGATAAAATATCAGCCTTTAACTTTAAAACAGGTAAAAAAAGTAAAATATGTTGATAAAATGGGAATTCGGGTGCAAATTATAAACACAATTTCTTCTTTTTTTTAACCGTTTACTAAATCTATATATAATTCACGAGAATAGTAGAGAAGAATCCACAACTGTAAAACATGCGTTCGCAGAGCATAAAAATGACAATAAATCCCAAACCGTTGAAAATCGCGCATGCGCATCATAAAAGAATCACCAACCGTTTGAAACTGTCTCTACGAACAAACCTAGTGGATGTCGATTTTGGTAAAAGTAAGTTGGCCGTGGCTGTGTGGATTAGAAGAACTGTCAATCTCTAAACTTTTAATTAATACCTACCTTATAACAGAACACGACAAATGTATACTAAAGTTCAAGATTAGATTCTAAAGCCAATTTAGCATTTTTTTAAACTCAATCAAGTTTGAGAAGGTAAAAAGTTATACTTTTTAATGTTTGTTTACTTAAATTCAAATTTTATTTGCAGTTTATTATATCTGTCATAATCGATATGGATTCAAATTTATCTAGCGATAGCGAATTTGATAATACTCCCCCAGATATCTTATGCAGTGCACAAAAGGCCACTGAAAAT